CCCTCGACGTGTGCTCTCTGCTGCTTCACCTGCCTGCCCCGCCCCAGGCCGGCCGCTCACCTCTGGGGGATCAGCCGCTCGGAGCTGAGGTACCCGGACTTGTGCAGCTCTTTGTTGTAGTCTCCAAACTTGGCCTGCACGGCGTAGGAGCCGAGGAGCACCGCGGTCTCGGGAGGGCAGTAGATCTCATCGCTCAGAATGCCCTCCTTCACTTGGAGGAAGAAGAGCTTCTGCGTGATGTCCTGGATGAGCTCCTCAGGCACGTCCTCAGGGTAGAACTTGGCCCTGAACTTGAACTGCAGGGGGTTCTCCTTCCTGACCTCCTGGGCTGACACCTGGACCACAGAAGCCGAGCGCTCACTGCGGGCTCAGGAGGGAAGCCCGCCCCAAGCACAGGCTGAGGGCCCTGCAGGCCAGTTTCAAAGAGTGTTTACTCTGAAGTCACCTTCTACATGTAAGACCCAAAGGCCAGTTTAAGAAGTCCCACTACACACCCTCCCTTCGCGGGAAGCCTGGCGCCAGCCTGGCCCGATCTTCTGGGGACGGGGCGAGGGAGAACTCGAACTCGAAACACCTGCTCCATGAGCCTGGAACCTGGAGTCCGGCCACGTGGCCAGTCCAGCGTGGACCACGGAGCTCGCGCCCCTCCTCCTCCACAGCCCCAACCGCCCCTGCTGCCATATCATTTGGGAGGAGAACCGGGTTTGGAAAAGGGACATTTTCCAAATTGTTTGCAGAAAACACATTTTGCTTCTTGCTGTTCTCTATAATTATTACTGGAATTATCCCGTCTTTAGAGTTGGGAGATAATCTATCACAGGTTCTGACAAAGCAGTAACAGGTTCTTGCAAAACAGTGGGTGATTCATGGTTTAAAAGATTAATAATCGCACTGTAAAAACAACACTAAGGTCAGCTAAATACAAGAATTAACCCTCATACGCTCGGTGAGCAGGGAGGGGAAATGCCCAGGTCCGACTGCCAACCTGTATCCCCATTTACAGGAAACCTGCGACCTTTTTGTCTGGAAAAACTTTTACACAAACAAAAAGGAACAAAAACCAAAGTCCAAGTAAGGTGCTCCGTTCAATGCCAACGAGGAGGACCCACACCCAGTTAACAGTGCAAACACTCAACTGTGACTTACCTTTTTATCAAGTTTCAACCAGGTAGGAAATCCTTTATTATCTACGTACTGGAGGCCGAAGTACCACACTTCCCGCAGGCCGATGGTCTTCACCACCTGCGAGGGAGGGAGGGAGGGAGGGAGGGGGCGACAGCCATGAGACACGGAATGGGCAGCGCTACCAGCAGCGCGGTCACAGGGGCCGCGGTCACGGTGCAGGGAGCCAGGTGCCGGCTGCCTGGTCACACCGAGCCAGCTAACACAGGCTAGCCCATCACCCCAAAGCCATACCGATTTATTTTTAATATCGATTTGAGCAGATTCTGGTTTACATTAAATCTTACAAAATGTTAAGACCTTCTAAAATCTCCCTCCTGCTCCTGAACGCCACCCTGCGCTCCCAGTCACTGCGAGCTGAGTGGCGGCGTGGCCACGGGAGTCGCTGCCAGGGGTGCCCCTGGGGAAGGAGCTGAACGCGGCCAACGTGAAGCAGAGGCGCGCTTGGTTCTCCTCGGGCTGCCCTGCCTCTCAGCCAGTTGGCCCGAGACCCTGCGACCAGGAACGGGGAGCCAGCAGCCCGGGGAAGACAGGCCGATGGTGGCACTTCCCGGGAGGGACGGGGAGTCTCAGCTTCACACAGGCCCAGGAAGTTCACATTCTGCCCAGAGACGGAGCCTTTGCCCCTGGTCACAGCGAGGGTTTCACACTGGGCAATCCCGTGTCGCTAGGAAAACCTCTCCTGTGGCCCTGCCCAGGGGTGGTCCGTGTCTCGGAACCAGACATGCGGCTGCGGACACTTGTTGAACACGGCCAGGGCCAGTCCAGAGCTTTGCTGTGCAGTCCTGAAGCCCATGGCGTACAATGTTAGGCTCAAAGAGAAGGGCCCTTAGCTGTCCTTCAAATGCATCGTCTACCACACTTAGAGGGGAAGACAGAGCACAGTAGCGATGGGGAGCCAGGGATCTAGAGCACTCACTTAAAGGAAGCTGGAAATGCCCTTAGACTCCTTCCCGAGCCTGCTTCCCCCCCGGGGGACAGATGCCTGCGTTCCCCTGGTAGGGAGAGAGGAAAGAGCCCGCCCTCACACAGCGCTTGCCTCCCACGTCTTTTATGAAACCTGACGTCTTGTTTTCACGGCAGCCAAGTGTAGAGAAAGTCAATTTAGAGACCAGAGTCTCTGTGCCCAAAGCCGCTGACTTATTCCTGCAAATCTCACCTCATTTGTGTCAGACCTGCCCTGCCTTCCTGTCTGGGCTGTTTCAAAGCTGCACAAGAAAGCCCACATTCCAGCAATCACCCCCTCTGTCCGGTCTCACCCCCCACCACAGCCCTGGCCCGGCCCTCGCCCCTCATCAGCCCCTGCGGGTGCTCAAGGCCACAGCTCAGAGTCCTCTCCACCTGGGGCGTGCCAGCCCCTTCCCACAGCATCAGACTCTGGAGCCTCCCGTGGACAGAGCCCGGACTTCACTCTCCTGGTGAAAAGCCTGGTGCCTATTCGGCCACAGGCTCCGTGACGTGAACCTCCCAGATTTCCGGGAACTCGCCCCTCCGTGTTCCCAGCCCTGCTTCTATCCCGATGGCGCTCCCCAAATGACAAAACAGACTCGGAGGACCTTCCCTCCTGCGGTCCATCCTAACAGCCCTGCGGGGCCCCCGACACCCCTAGAGAAACACCTCACTATCCCTCAGTGTCCTTGGCCTAACCCGAGGCTGACCCCACGGGGAGGGAAGAGGAGCAGGCCTAGTCCTTTACCTCGGCCTGGGCGGCGTTGTAAGTGGCAGGGGTTTGGGAAGTAAAGGCAGGGATTGTCTATTTCACTCCATCTTAAGCAGCAGCTGAAAAACACTCCTGATGGAGACACTGGGCACACACAGCCACACGGCAAAACTGTCCTCGCCCCTCTGTACGCCAGCAGTGGGCAAGTGCCCTCGGCTTGTCGGGGATCTGCCTCCTGCGTGGCTGTTGACCTGTGACACGCTCATCCAACCAGAGCCCTGGACTAGGACCCAGTCACAGCCCAGTTACTGCCGAGACTCCCGGGTAGAGAGGAGGGGTCAGTCTAACTCACCACCTCGTCCGCTTTCCGAACACAGAGCCTCCCAGCTCCGCTTTAAAATAAATGCTTGAGGTCGGCCTGGCACTCATGGACGACAAGGACTGTCTGTGACTGAGGGACACGGTGGCTGCAGGCACAGCTAACACAGCACCTGGGCCTCCTCCCCGGCCTGCCCGCCCTGGAGCTCAGCTGGCTCCATGGAACGGCTTCAAGATTACCTTTCAGGCGAAACCTTTAGAATTTGAACCAAGTCAGCCCCACCCAGAGCAGTAAATGTCTCGATCTTTGCTGGGCGAGGCAGCACCGGGAGAGCTGAGGTGTGTCCCCACCTCTGCAGGCACTGGCAGGACCCTCACCCTGAACCCTGGGGCTGCTGCGGGGGTGGGGGGAAAGGGGGCCCAGCACAGGGAATGGGCAATGAGAAGACGTCCCACCCAGCAGCGGGGGGGTCACTGCAGATTCTAGATGTGCTAAAATCTTACCCCCCAGGTCTCCCCATCAGCACCCACTCCACTTCCCGGGTTAGTGTTGATGGGAACATCGCTCTCCTCCCACTGGGGCCTCAGAAAGGCCAGCACAGCTCCAGGGCCTGCATACACCCCGTCCTGGTGCCCACTGGACCTCGGCCCCGGAGCACTCACTCAGCCCAGAAAGAAGACCTTGCTCGCTGAGGAGCGGTCCCGGGACGAGCTGCCGCAGGGGGCTCGGTGCTCCCGTTAAAACCCCACTTTCACCTTCAGGCTGCGAGAGGGAACGCGACGGGCTCCGTGGGGCCCAGCTCAGATGAGCGTCTGAGCGAGCTCAGTCCGAAGGAGCTGGGGAGGGTCACCCCGGAACCGCGCCTGCCTGGCCCCTCTCGGGCCCGTGGGCGGTGTCTGATCGCCACTGCACCCAGCCCCACACTGATGGCCAGCAGCAGCCAGGTGACCATGAGAGCCGGGGGCAGAGGGCAGCCAGAGCGGTGGGTGCGGCGTGCTGCCACCCCACAGGCACCGGCAGGCCTGGCCCCGGGGGCTGCCAAGGAAGCCTTCGATGTCCCCGAAAGCGCGCCTCGGGGCTGTGAGCAGGGCCACCCCCACGGAGTTCTCAGTGTGAGCCCCACGGGAGGGGAAATGGGCTGCTCTACAGAGAGAAGCAGGCAGCATCCCAAGGAATATGCTTCCCAAACCAAATGATTCAGATGCTGCAAAAGTTTCTTTTCTAAATGGGATTCTCTCTCTCTCAAGTTCACAGAGACCAACCTGATCAAAAAGCTGCTTTCCTGTGGTGTTCGGCTGGATGGCGAACTCCAGCTCCGCGTCCATGGTGGTGACTCGGACATTGATCTAGAAAACACAGGGACAAATCACACTTAGCGAGCGTTCTTTTCTCTCTTTTAAAAAAGATATCTTTATTGATTCCAGAAAGGAAGGGAGAGGGAGAGAGAGAGAGAAACATCAATGAAGAGAGAGAATCATTGATTGGCTGCCTCTGGCACAACCCTTACAGGGGATCAAGCTGACAACCCAGGCAGGTGACCTGGACCCTTTCAGTCCACAGGCAGATGCTCTATACACTGAGCCAACCCAGCGACAACAGCGTTCTTTTCTCTTGATCCTCTCCTGAGCCTTCCACTAGAGCTACTCAGCCACACGCAGGCTGTTCCTCTCCACAGCCATTATCAGTCTAGTCAGCACACACGTGCGCACACACGCACACACTCCTCGGCTGACACACGTGCGCACACGCATATGCACACATGCACACACTCCCCGGCTGATAAGTCTCGGCGCGTGCACAGTCTGGACCCGAACGCAGGCCTGCCTTCTTCAGCACGGCATATTCACACTCAGGTCTGTGCCCTTTTTCCACAAAAGTCCTCTGACTATGGTTCGTGGATTTCCCACGCACCACCTCCTTCTGACCCCACAGCAGCCGAGTGAGGCTCCGAGAATTCAGACCGGGGCAGGAAGGGAGAGGGTCCACTGGGTGGGCAAAAGTAGGTTTACTGCTGTTTATATGGAAAATACAATACAGCAGGTCCTGGAGTGGCGTCGGAGATCCGTTCCTATGGCGACGTAACTCGATTTTCGCCGTAAAGTCGGAACCCACCTACATAAGCACCTGCGTCACTCACACGGAGCACACACACAGCAGTAATGAAGTGAAACAGTAAAAAAAATGTAAAAGAAAGATAACAATTCCTAACCTCTACTTGTGGTAAATAAATAATAAACATAAAGCACATATGTACATACGTTGAAATGACAGAACTTTTTTTTAATAAATATATAGGAGATGGCGACGTAACCATGAAACAATATACGCCGAGTCCCTGGGGACTGCCTGTAATTAACAAGTAATAATACAAGAATAAGCTGTAAATGACCAGTGGCCAGGCCGCTTGACCTCAAGGGGGTGTGTGTGTGTGTCACCTGACTAGTCGTTACCCTGCGGTGTTTCCCACAAGGTGATCTTGGCCTTCGGGCAGCACGGCATTGGTTTGCAAGATGACCTCCAGTCCTGCAGAACGGCCAGCGCCTAACCATGCACAGTGCCCGGTCAGCGGGACATCCACCAGGACCCCACACACACCTCCAAGTGCTCTCGGGGACAAAGGACCACAGAGGTACTGCCTTAGTCAGGGGCATGCTCAACAGTCCATGTGTATAAAGACTATGGGAATTATTTCCCAGTTTACGGATCCTAACGATGTGCTAAAAGCACCATAAACTTCTACCGAAATTTAAAATAAAACATTTACTCAGAAAACAGGACCATTTCTATACATATTTTGGTCCACTTATCCAGGGGCTTTGAAAGAAATTAGGCTTTGGAAATTAAGAAACGTCTAAAGCCCAGTCCTTTTCACAGTCTTTGTGAGCGGTTTCCATGCCTCGCAACTGGTTTTGGTGAACTCGACACGTGGCGAAAGCTGGCGCTCACATCAGCGGCGCCGCCCCAGCCATCAGGTGGAATCGTGCGGTTACGCATCAACGGGAGGTGGCCCACGACAGGTCAGAGGTGCAGGAACTTGAAGTCCGAACACTCAAACCTCGTGCAAAGACGGGACAAGAGCACATGCTTTGCAATTTGTATCGTCCTGGTGTGTCTCCTAGATCATACTTTCCTCAGAGGCCACGCTCGCTGCAGGAGGCACCGCCAGGAGGCGTGGTGGGGGTGCAGGCATGTGCAGGAGCAGCCGTCACTGAAAAGCTACCCGAGAAGGCTGGCCAACATACTAAACACCTCTCGACATTCAGTTTTGTTCGGAGAGGGTGGTGACAATTAAAGTTTAATTGTGTCCATGTACCCCCGGCCCCATATACACATGCAGAGCCATGTGGCTGATGGTGTAGATAATTTAATAATTCATGTCTCCTTCCAAGTGCTCCTCCATTGACGCTCAGACACAGTCATACTGTGAGGTCTAAGGTGTCAGAACACATAAGGAACCAGACCTCACCCTACTCCGCTATTCATAATGGGAATTGATAAATAACGTTAGATAACATTAGGGAGTTAGGGAGTCAAGTTAGGGAGTTAAGTTAGCCCTCAATTGATTTAAAAAAATTAGGTCTTTCTACAACCATGTATCATGTCAGAATTTTCTAACAAAATGACTTATCTTAGACACAAGTCAGGAAAAGCTGGTGCTGCACATGCCCGAACCCCTCAAGGAAAATGAGGTTTCAATGGGTATATTTTTCACACTGACCACATTCAGCAGAAAACTCTTGTTTTTGCCCCACACAGTAGCTAGCTTAATGGGTGAGCTGTATTTTTTATTTTTACCTCAGTAGGAGAGTTAAGTTTCTGAGCTCTTGCTAGAATATCAGTATATGCAAGAGACAAATGCCTAAAAACAGCCCAAAACAACAGAACTGGCCAATAGGACTTCTTAAATTTAAGCAAAATGCTATGCATGTTTTGTTGTTCTTATTGTGTGTATGTGTTTCATGAATAATGACTAGAATTTCACAGGTATTTTGCTCCAGGTCACTTGACTATATAATGCATATTACTGAATATCAGGATTCAACACATAAAATTTCTTTGCCTTACTTAATGAAGATAATGAAAACTTCATTGTCAGGCTCTCTATCCTCCCTCTGCTTAATAATCTACTCTTTAAAAAATTGTATTTGCTGTTATTAGGGGTCAGCTCAGCTACTACACTACACACCTATGAACCATGACAGCATCGTTCTGCTGCTCCCAGCCCACCCCAGCCAGGACACCTTGCACCCTGTGAGGCTCGTGTGCTCTACAAACCCCAACCAAATGCCTGCTGGGGATGCTGGCACCATGAGGGTCACGGGGGACAGAGGAGTGAGACCTCCCTTGCCCTGGAGCCGCTTGACTGAACCCACAGAGATGGCCTCAAGCGGCTGTCATACACCGCATGGGACTGGCCGTTAGACTCCCCAGAGCAGCTTTACAAACACTTGAGTTTCTGGGCCTCAGCCCAAGAACCTGTATATTTTTTAAAGCCACTCAGGCGGCTTGAGGACTGCCCAAGCCACTGATCAGCAGGCGGGAGCAGAGCAGCTGGGAGGCCGGGGTTCGAGACCTGGCGCTGTGACCCACTGAGGACTCAGCCCCTTATGTGCAGAAGGTCTGGACTTCGTGTCCTGAGGTCCTTTCCAGCTCGGAAATGTGAGGTCTGGAGTCCCAAGGGGCAGGGTTAGGGTTAGAGCAAGAACTGAGAGTCCTGGGCGGACTCCTAGCAGGAGACAGGGGATGCGGGGAGGGTCCCTGGAAAGTAACTCAGAGCGAACACGATCAGCAGGTGGCCAGGAGATGGCTTCCGGGACAAGGGAAAGGCTCAGCGGGGCTCACACCTCCTGCAGGGGCTGTAACCCTCCCGGCAGGAGAAAGGGGCTACAGGCTTTACTGCTGCAATGCAACTGGCATCTCTTTCGAACAAAAAGGAGAATGAAAAGTATTTAAGCGCCAATCTTCTTTTTTTAAACGCCCAGTAACAATTCACCCCACTAAACAAAATAAACCCACTGTCCTCTCTGCTCACTCCCTCCAACTGAGCAATCCTGAGACAGACCTGGGCCTCCCAGCCAACCCCTGCCGGGCAGGCCGCAGTGTAGCATCCTGTAACTCAAACAGTGTCTGAGTGCCCTCGGAGCCAAGCCAGCAGCTGAGTTCTCTGCAAAATACCTGAAGGTAAAGGGAGGGACAGAGGGGTGACGCTCGCTCTAGGGGAGGGGACGCAGCGGCATTTCGAGGTCACAGAAGTTAAGGCTGCGCTTCTTTTTTCTTTAACTGAAAGGCTTGTGTCTTTGCTGTTAATGCGAATTGTGAAACCCCAGGGCGGGCCCCAGTCTGCTTCCCACGTTTCTTTTCCGTGGACAATCCCCAGGCACCAGTCCTTCCCGAACACACTCTGAAAAACATGAGTCTCCCCAGGTTCACTTGTTAAAACCTCCCCGGAGCCTGTAGGAGAACACACTGAGGGACCTTCAAGTACCTTTTACTTCTAACCCAGGCACAGGCTGAACCGTTGGCTGTCAAATGATCGCCCTTCATCATTCTCCTCATTTTGGTAGATAAATATTTGGCAATATTGCCTTTGGGAAGTGCCCACTTCCTCCTGACATGCTTTCTCTTGGGTTGAGATGACCTCTCCAGGCATACCTTTCACAGAACTAAAGACCAAGACAGGAGGGGAAGGCTCCGGCCAATTCTGCCCCAAACCTCCCAGACAAGCGGCCGCTCCCGTCTCCTTACGGCGCCAAGCCGCATGCCAGCAGCGGGGTTGCTCTGTGCGCTCATTCAAAACCTGGAGGACCATGAAAATGAGGGAAATGCACGTGGTCCCCTCTGAATGTTTGGCTTTCAGGCCATGGCCTGAGTGATAAGGTTAATCCCTGTATTATCACACCTGCATTTGCTCAAAAGTGAGTGGAGCTGCCCAGCACCAGGGCGATTGCACTGGGAGCCTGACCTTCACAATCACTTAAAATGTCAGCACTGTTTCCCCACATTCCAGCCTCTTCCTAAGGCGCCACCTCAGCAACTTCCAACAGCTTTCAAATATTTGGCGAAGGCCTTTCAGATACGTAGAAAGGCTGATAGGAAGCAGTCCGGCCCGCCCGCTCCCCAGCTGGGGAAGGTGCAGGAGCTGTTCTCCCCAAGGACAGCCACCGAGTGAGAAAGCATCGCGGATGCCTGTTTGGGTCACTTAATTGAAAAATTACACGGGCAATATTGTATTTTCATCTTCATGTTGAGTACTTTTAAAATTACAGCCTTCTTGAAGTATAACTTACAACCATAATATTTGCCCGTTTAAAGTAAGCAAGTCAGTGGCTTTTTAGCATATTCTCCGAATTACGCAACCACACCATGA